TATAGCACTTCAAGCACATTAATAACTTGAGTCCAATAAGGAACGGCAAGAGATTAAAGTGGATTGGCCCGTACAGAGGCGGAAATGAGAATAACCTTCACATTTCTGGGCACGAGAAGAAACAAGTTACTTATGAATCTGATCTATAAAAGAAGTTTGGATGTAAAACAATAGATTTAGTGATTAAATTCACATGCTCTGCCATTGCAGGTTGAAATGAAAGTGTTTTGGCTGATTAGAAACAGGCCCATCTGCTCAGGGTTTAACAAGAAGTAGCCAATCAGGCTGTGATTTTGCTTAGTGTGAGTGTCTGAGCTGCAGCCCTGTGTTTATCAGAAACAAACACTTCCCCAATTCTTACCAAACTCTAGCCGCCAAGTCTGCCATGGAAGTGGAGAGAGAGAGAGAGAGATACATAGCATCTACTTAGTTAAAAATTGTAGCACTTTCTGGTGCTTTTTGATGGTGAGGGCCGCTGTTGCCGAGCAGCAGCGCGTTGGCCCTACGTTTCTCCCCAGTGCTGACCCCTATGATACAGCTTGGTGTGGCTTGGGTCAGTTTTGCCTCCCTAATCCTGTCCCAGGTGATCTGCGGCAATCTGATGAGTGTTGCCACTTGCAAACGAAAAACATGGCAGCTGTCTCCAAATCACAGCAGCTTTCTGTGCAGCGTTGCAGTTTGCAGGACCTTAATCATCAGTAAGTACAAAAACCAAGGGGGCAATTAAATAATTTTCAGGTACAGCGATTTAAACTTTGCAAACTATTTCTGTGGTCGATTGTATGCCATCTGAGTCTTTTGATTGTACGTATTAGCTTTGTCATATTTACTAGGCAGAGGTAATATTCACTGTGATGGATTATTCACCGTAATAAATGCAGGGTGAAGTATCCACTGCAACACACACGGTGCAGTATTCAGTGTAATTTTCCAATCCTCCTCAGGGTTGGGTAGCAGAGAACGGGAGAACTGTAGATGTTGCCCACTCATTCAATCTAGTGTGTGTGATGATAAGGCCAGTTACCACAGGCCAATCCACAGTTGAAAAGCCTTTGGGAACGCTACTTCAGGACATAATTTACAGACTCTTGGACAACAATGGATAAATTATGGAAAGCCAACTTTGATGGTCTGAGGGCACATTGCATTTAATTAACGTGCTGGAGTTTTTGTGAGATAACAGGGAGGGTTGATGAGGGTTCTGCAGTGGATGAGGTATACATAGAATTTCCAATGATGCTTAATGAAAACATAATGCGTTTGCCACCAAATAAGGAGTCCATGAAATAAAAGGAATGCCAATGGCATGGAGACAAAATTAGCAGGGTGACCAGAAACAATGATTAGTGGTGATTTTTCAAGCTAAAGGAAAATTCCCCACAGATCAGTGCTGGGATGACTGCATCTTCTGACCAATAAATGACCCGTGAAGTGATTCATTTTAAGAATGAGATAATTTAAAGTGAAGGATACAGTTCTGAATGGGGTGCAGGGGAAAAGGGGTCCATTATGTATTCAAATCATCGAGGGTTGCAGGGCAGTTAGGTTTAATAAAATCAATGGAGTCCTGGGCTACAGAAACAGATGCAGGGAATATGAAAGAGAAGGAGTTATGGTGTACCAGTATTCCATACTGTTTTGACTCCAACAGCAATGATTGTGCCCAATTCTGGGCATTGCGTGCCAAGAATGATGTGAAGATTTGCAGTCGTCCTTCTAATGGATTCCCAGGCACGAGGAATTTCAGTTCTCTCGGCAGGCTGGAGATATTGGAGAAGAGGAGGCAGACAGGACACGTGAGAGAGATGTTCAAAATCACACGGATGGAGTGATAGGGGAAAAGCTATAGGCCTAAGAGCCAAGGATCAGAGGGCATGTTTGATGAAGAATTGACATCAAGATTGGGTAAAAATGCTTTCTCTTGGCGAGAGGTTAGTGACTGGAATGTGCTGACTGACATGGCCGTAGAGGCAGGGTAACCTGAGGTTTAGAGGAGGGGGTTGGACTAACTAAAGAAACAGAAGGTTACAGGGAGGGGCATTAGGCAAGTTGCACTTGCCGAGGGCTGGCACAAAATGACGGGCCAAGTGGCTTCCTCCTGCGCTGTTGCCATTCTACGATTCCAACATCCTTGTACAAATGCCATTTGTACAAAAACCTCCAACAATTAAAAAAATCTTCTTCTATACAATTACAGACAGTTACCTGAATCCATGCTGTGCATTAGATAGGACAATAGATACCGCAGTCAGACGTTACCACTATGAAATGCTTTTTTTTTGGTCGTGAACTTAAAATGTCTTTTTCTTGCATAATGTACAAGTCTAATTAGACAATGTGCACTTGCTAGCTCCATGAATGAGATACACAAAACTATTTTCTTTCATTCTTTCATTGGTTATGGTAAGGCCAGCATGGGCTACTCATCCCTAATTGCCCCTCAATGAAGTATGGCTTGCTAGGGCCATTTCAGAGGGCAGTTAACTCTCTGTAGTGATTGTGATGAGTCATAGAGTATGAGTTCCCTGATTGGAGCTGTAAACCTGGTCCAATCAGGGAGCCCTGGCTGACAGATAGAAACAGGAGTGTCTGAGGTTCTGTTCACTCTGAGGGCTGGCTCTGAGGGAGCTGGATCAGCATCAAAGACTCTCCACGTGTAAATAAAGGGTGACCTGGTGAAAGGATACTGACCTCTGTGGAGTTATTTCATGTCAACCTCTTTGCTATGGGTCTGGAGTCACATGTAGGCCAGACTGGGTAAGGACAGCAAATTTCCTTCCCCAAAAGGACATTAGAGAACGCGGAGATTATGTAAAGGATCCTACTCACTGTCACTGTCATTGATATGCTTCAGATTTTTGACCACGTCCTTGGCATGTTTACTTGTCCCCTGTAAATCATAAGATTATAAGACATAGGAACAGGAGTAGGCCATTCCACCCATCGAGTCTGCTCTGCCATTCAATGAGCTCATGGCTGATCTGTTAATCCTCAACTCCACTTTCCTGACTTTCGCCTCGATTCCCTTACTGATTAAAAATCTCTCTATCTCAGCCTTCAATATACTTAATGACCCAGCCTCGATAGCCCTCCACGGATTCACTCCCCTCTGAGAGAAGAAATTCCTCCTCATTTCTGTCTTCAAGGGGCAATCCCTTATTCTGAATTGATGCCCCTCTGGTCTCAGACTCTTCCACACAAGGGGAAATAACCTCTCCACGTCTCCCCTGTCAAGTCCCCCTAAGAATCTTGTTTGTTCCAATAAGGTCAGCTCTCATTCATCTAAACTCCAATCAGCACAGGCCCAACCTACTCAACCTCTCCTCATAAGACCATCCCTCCATACCCGGGATCAACAGGGTGAACTGCCTCCAATGCCAGTCTTTCTTTCCCTAGATAAGGAGTCCAAAACTGTTCACAGTATTCCAGCTGTGGCCTACCTAGCACCTTGTGTAGTTTTACCAAAACCTCCAATTTTTATACTCCATAAACATGGTAATGAATTTCCTCTTGGAAGGCCTTCCTCAGATTTTCAGTCTGGTCCTTTCTCTTTTCCCTGGAATAGTTTTTCCTGCACGGATGTCTCCCTTTGGACCAAACGCAACCCCAGTGTCTCTTTATCCACCATCTGTCCTTCTCAGCCCTCCCAGCCACACATCACCACATTGCTTTGAGGTTTGATACATAGAGAGCTCCAAGGGCCAGAAAGTGCACTATGCAATGTTAAGATCTATTGGTAGCTGCAGGGCTCTGCAATGTGCTGGACGGTGAGGTCCACAAACTGTGCCACCAGTTAAAATTCAGTGGGAGGGTGCTGTAATCTCGGAGGCAATAGGAGTATTGGGGTCTCCCCCAGCACCCACCACCCCACCACTCCCTCGCAAGCCTCCCCATAGTTCCTCTCCTATCGCTGGGGTCAACTGAGGAGTCAAGACAGTTCCTGAGCTTTGAAACAGGGGACACAGTTGGAAAACATTTGGGAACCTCTACATTAATGTCTTCGTTATAACAGAGGATGCAAGATTCAGAGACTCCTGTGTCAGCTTATTTACTACAAAAGCAGAAAGGGCTGTAAAAACTCAACAGGTCCTACAGTGTGGTGGCTCAGTGGTTAGCACTGCTGCCTCACAGCGCCAGGGACCTGGGTCTGATTCCACCCTCGGGTGACTGTCTGTGTGGGAGTTTGCACATTCTCTCTGTGTCTGTGTGGGTTTCCTCCCACAATCCAAAGATGTGCACGTTAGGTGAATTGGCCACGCTAAACGGCCCATAGTGTCCAGGAATCTGTACACTAGTCACAGGTAACGCAGGGCTATAGGGTAGGGGGATTGGTCTGGGTGGGATGCTCTTTGGAAGGTTGGTTCAATGGGCCAAATGGCCTCTTTTTTGTACTGTAGGGATTCCATCTGAGAGAAAAGCAGAGTTAAAGTTTCAACCCTTGTTCAGAGCTATTCCGATGGCAAGTCAGTTGACGTGAAACGTTAACTCTGCTTTCTCCCATCAAATGTTGCCAGAGCTGCTGAGTTTCTCGAGCAACCTTCTGTGTTTGTTAGAGATCTCCAGCATCCACGGCTCTTTATTTTATTCCAGCTTATTTATTGTTATGCTCCTTAACCCGACTTATTCCTTATTCTGGGCTGTTGTCCTCTCCTGCTGGAGTTGGTGCACATGTCCATTGAGAGTGGTTGCCTTATGCAAACCGTCATGATTCACATTGAAGTTCAGGCAGCGATCCCAGTGAGCGAACATCACCGCTGGGTGGGGGCAGCCCAGCTGAAGTCTGACCCCCATTTTAGCTGATGTTTATAAGCATGGGGTTGGGGGGTGGTGTTTAGTGACAGAAATAGACACCCCTGGTGATTTTCAGCAAACGAACTCATGCCCAACTACAGTATAATCACTCAACTAAGATACCTGTGTCAATTTCCAACCAGAGCAGTGGTTGGGGTGGGGGCGGAGGGGTGGTGGTGCTTCCTGCTAGATTACAGGGGGATACTCACCACCACAGGCAAATGAACCAACAAGAACTCCAGGTGCTTTCTCTCCAAATGTCCTGCACGTATCCGTTTCTCATCGTTAAGACATTCTTGAAAAGCTGGCAAGGATTATAAGTATAAACCCATTAAGTGCAGGCAGCTATAACACACAGCAAGAGTAAGGCCCAAGTGTGGAACCAGGCCATTCGGCCCATGATGACCTCCCGAACAGCACCCCACCCAGATTCAGCCCCCTTCCCCATCCCTGCGGCCAATCCACCTATCCTGCACATTGTTGGACTGGGAGGAAACCGGAGCACCCGGAGGAAACCCACGCAGATACGGGGAGAATGTGCAAACTTCACACAGACAGTCACCCGAGGGTGGGATCGAACCCAGGTCCCTGGCGATGTGAGGCAGCAGTGCTAACCGTGCTGTCCCAAATTAGATCTAAATGAGATCGGGTTGTGAGGCTGCTTACAGGTGGAATCTGTTAAGCAATTTTAAGGTGGGAATCTCATTCCTGAATAACAGACAGTAGGCTCATAGCTTCTGCTGCCTTTGAGGTCCTTCAGTCTGATAACTGGCTGGTCAAATCTCAGCTAGTCTCTGTGCTCTGGAAAGGTCTCTGGCCAATACTCTGCTTTACTGATGGAGGCTGCCAGCATGATGATAATGAAGCAGGTTTTGCTATCACCTTAAAGCCTTCATGTCTCTTATCGAGAGCAGAGTCACAGCACTGTTACAGGCAGACAGTTAACGCAAGGCCGTGACTTCCCTCTGGGAAGGGAATGGGAATGGGAAGAGTGTAAAATGGTGACAGTGTCGGGGCTGTGAGAGGGTCAGGGAAGCAGGGAGGACGGTGCCAAGACCAAGAAACTTGTACTTAAACTGCACCTGCCCCAACCATCGCAAGGTGCTTCACTGCTGATGAAGTCCTCCTGAAGCATTGTAGGGTAGAAAAGGCCGAAGCGTACACAGCAAGCTCCCAGAAATGGCACCGTGACGGTATCCAGTTTCAGAAATGTCCAACTAGTGCCACATGACCCTTCACCTCTACCTGAGATACCAGGTGAGGACCTTAGTTTGACATTTTCACGTCGCCTTCAACAGTGCCAGCTGTGGGTGTGCCAGTCTAGATTTTGTCCTCAAGTTTCTGATTTGGGTCGTGACCTTCAAACTCCCAGGGGTGAGGGTGGACCATTGAGATAGATCTGACACTCTCGCTAACAGCTGGAGTGCTAGAGGGTTAGCATCAAGGGTAGCTGACCAATGACAGTGGAATAGATGTTGCAAACAGGAGGCTGGTCTTGGAGCTGAAAACAGACGGGAGAACATTGAGCTGAAAAAGTATACAAGAGAAGCAAAGAGAGATTATGAGAAAAGACTGCCAGTTAAAATTAAGGGAATCCCAAGCTCTTCTATAAGCACATTGACAGTAAGAGGATGGTAAAGGGAGGAGTCGGACTGTTTAGGGATCAGTAGGATTTGCAAATAGTGGTGAGATACATGGTTGAGGTGTTAAATGAATACTTCATACCTGTCTTCATCACTGAGACAGATTCTGCCCAGGATATAGTGATAGAGAAGGAAGCTCCGTCACTAGAAGGATTTAATATTGAGAGGAAGGTGTTATTGGATGAGCTGTTGGTACTTCAAGTTGCTGAGGACCAGGTGTGATTTATCCGAGGAAACTGAACAGAGTAAGAGTGGAAATCCACAGAACACTGACGACTACCTTTCAATCCTCCTTGGACTCGGGAGTAGGCGCTAGAGGAATAAAGAATTTGAAACATTATGCCCTTGTAAGTAAACAGGCTGTAAAGAGCGATTACAGGCCAATCAGCCTAACTTCAGTTGTGGGGAAACTTTCAGAGACAGTAATTCAGAATAGAATTAATAGCCACATAGAAAATGTGTGTTGACTAAGGAGAGTCAGTGTGGATTTGTTAAGAGAAAATTGTGTTTATCTGGTTTGTTGGGGTTTTTTGTAGAGAGCGCTGTTGAGGTCAAGGCTGTTGATATGTTATACATGGACTTCCAACAGGCTTTAAAACAGATTTGTGAGTAAAGTTATTGATCATAAAATGTTAGGGACATTAGCAACATGGATACAAACAGAAAGCAATGGTCAATGGATAGTTTTCAGGCTGGAGGAAGGATTGTGGTGGATTTCCCCAGGGGTCAGTATTGGGGCCCTTGTTTTTCCTGGTAGATATTAACGGTGTGGATCTTGGGGTGCAGGGGACAATTTCAACGTTTGTGGATGACATGAAACTTTGGAAGAACTGTAAATGGTTGGGAGGACAGTGCGGAACTCCAAGAGGACATTGACAAGTTGGTGGAGTGGGCGGGTGAGGTTCGATGCTGAGAAGTACAAAGACCACGGAGAGATGGTATAATGTAAAGGGTACTATTCTAAAGGATGTGCTGGAGCAAAGAGACCTTGGTGTTTATGTATATAAGTCCACAAAGCTGGACAGACGGGTAGAAAGGGTAGTTAATATAGCAGATAGCATTCTAAACTTCATTAATAGGGACATAGGGGACAAGAGCAAAGAGCTGGGAGGTTATGCTGAACATATACATTGATGAGATCTTACTGGGGTATTGTGTGCAGTTCAGGGCACGGCACTATTGAAAAAATGTGAACGCATTGGACGGAGCATAAAAGGTGTTTATGAGAGTGGTTGCAGGAATGAGAAACTTCAGGGATGTGGATCGATTGAAGAAGTTGGGACTGTTTTCCTTGGATAGAAGGAGGCTGAGAGGGAGATTTGATGGGGGTTTTTTCAAATCCTGAGCAGGGCTGGACAGAGTAGGTAGGGAGACGCTGTTCCCGCTCGAGAAAGGAACAAGAATGAGAGGGACCCGGATTTAAAGTGATGTGTAACAGAAACAAAGATGATGTGAGGAAAAACTACTCAGCGAATAGTTAGGGTGTGGAATGGGCTGCCTAGAAATGTGGTGGAGGCAGGTTCAGTTGACGCATTCAAGACGGGCATTGGATGGTTTTCTGGATAGAAATAGTGTGTAGAGCCATTGAGAAAAGGCAGGAGAATGGTGCTAAGTCATAGAGTCATACAGCCTAGAAACAGGCCCTTCGGTCCACTATGTCAATGCTGACAAACAAGTAGTGCAGACACGATGGGCCAAAAGATCATGCACACTGAAAAATTCTGTAAATCTGCAGCAGCACTGTTTAGGACAGTTACCATTTTAACTCAGTGACACTGGGGGAACAGTGACATATTTTCAGGTCAGGATGGTGAGTGGCTTGGAGGGGAACTTGCAGGGGGTGGTGCTCCCATGTATCTGCTGCCCTTGTCCTTCTAGATGGAAGTGGTCATGGGTTTGGAAGGTGCTGCCTGAGGATCTTTGGTGAATTTCTGCAGGGCATCTTGTAGATGGTACACACTGCTGTTACTGAGCGTCGGTGGTGGAGGGAGTGGGATGTTTGTGGATGTGGTGCCAATCAAGCGGGGGCTGCTTTGTCCTGGATGGTGTCGAGTTTCTTGAGTGTTGTTGGGGCTGCACTCATCCAGGGCAAGTGGGGAGTATTCCATCACACTCCTGACTTGTGCCTTGTAGATGGTGGGATAGGCTTTGGGGAGTCAGGAGGGGAGTTACTCACCGCAGGATTCCCAGCCTCTTGCAGCCACTGTGTTTATATGGCTGGTCTACTTCAGTTCCTGGTCAATGATAAACCCATGATGCTGGTTATAATACTGCCAATCAAACACTCTTCATCACATCGTCCTGTCATTTAGTTTGCTTCTAGTATTCTCATTCACAAACCTCATTCTTTCCACCTGCTACCAGAGGAACAGACCCTTCCTGATTGCCAACATGGCGCCATCCATGTTAGTATGCCACTGTCCTCCATCGACTGCCCTGGGCCTATTTAGTTCAGTAAAAGCCCATATCCTAACTTACATCAAATCCTCACCTACCCACACTGGCCCCTGGCCCAGGAACACTTTGTCCCTGTTTACACATCATTGCTAGGATGTCAGCATATCTCTGCAATTCCCTCAGGAGCTGTGTACCTCCAGGATCTCCGCACTCCTCTGTGGCCCGGCCACTCCCAGGCCACCGTCACTTCAACATTGGAGGTACCCAAGACCCACCTCCTCCAACTGTCCAATCTTCTCTCTCTCTCCCTCTGCCCTCCCTTTGAGGTCCTCCTGGACACCAACTGGATTGAACTAGTGCCCAGCCACTCTATCTCCTCATGCTGTTCGCCGTCAAATTTGCCTGATGACATTCTCTGCAGGACAGCTGGCGGGGGGTGGGTCGGGGGGAGCGGTGGCTGTAGAAATGTAAGTTGTTGCTGTATAGTCCTCCACCTCATCCTTTCCCCGAGGAAACCTTAACATGTTCATTTAAGCGATGATTGTGAGGGATTTCTGGGAGTAACAAATTGTGGCAGTGCTCCTGGGGTGTTTTATTTTCCCTTTTGGTGAGGAGATGAATGATAACCTAAGAGAATTAAGAATGTAAGTTGACCATCTTGCCCCTCGAACCTGCTCCTCCATTTCATTACTTCATTAATTAGCCGTACTATCCTCCCATTTCCCTTCATTCCCTGTTTGATTACAAGTCCCTCTGACTCAGCCTCCACTGCTCTCCAGGAGCAGGGGGGTGGGCTGGAATTCCAGAGAATAATCCTCCCCTTCTCTCGCATAAATAAAAGGCCTCTTATTTTGAAACTGTGGCCCTTAATTCTAGATTCCCTCCCAAAGCCATTTCCCTCGGGATCTTGTATGTTTCAATGAGATCACCTCTCAGACTTTAAACTCCAAAAGCAGAGGCTACTGTTCCTACTATTGCCTCATCTGCCCTCACCTCCAGTGAAAGACGCCATCATCTTACCAGACCATGGGGGCTGCTCTCTCATTAGCCTGGGAGAGATGACTGGTTGGTGGTTTGACCTGAGGCTTACCATGTCTCAGGTGAGGGGAGAGGTTGAGCCCTTCATGGTAATCTCAGTTGGTGCAGGAATTGAACCCAGGCCCATTGCAAAGCAGCTATCCAACCAACTGATCTAACTGACCCCCACTAAACCCAGTCACTTTCTGGGTGAGCTGATCAGTGAGGGAGACAGTTTGGGTTGATACCA